AACCATCCTTTTCGAGCTAGGGACAACTAGCTTGCGCTGCACTATTGTCCAGTACCCCTCCTTCGTGTCCATTCTCACTCCCATGATTCGATCACTGATCCTGTTCACAGAGGAGACGCAGTCCTTGAGGGATTCCGCTACCGCTATGGCCACTCCATTCCGTTTGGTGTCTCCGCCACTGTAAAAGAGTTTGACCCCTTCTTCGAACTAGCGGCCTTGGCTACTTTCCAGGGCGTTACTGAAAGCATAGGACTTTGATGTTCCTTCGCTTCATCAGAGACCTCTCGAGAATTTCCGGTCAGCGATCCCATGTTCGGAAGTCTCGTTTAGCCGAGGTCGTTTGCCCCTCGGTAGCCCTCGCATACTGACCACAGAACTCGGGCGAGGGTTCTGCGCGCCACTTCCGGGTGACGTCCTAGCATAACTACTGATTCTTTTGCGACTTTCAACCATAGTTCTTGTGACGAGGTTCTCCATCAGACGGTCTGTCAACCTGGGCCTTACGCTGCTCCATCGGCACCATTTGTGCAATACGCTGCTCCACCGGCACCATTTCTGCAATTTTTGCAACTCATGGTCTTTCCCTCAGCTGGGATCGAACTCGTGGTCTTTACCACAGTGGTTGCGAACATGAGCCCACACTCTTAACAACCCAGCTGCCTTCTTACTAGTTGATGCTCTGACCTGCTAATCAAACAAAAGTGGGCGGGGCTCTGCGAAGTGGGGGACGTTCCTTATTGTACGCGGCACTACCCGCAGTAGCCCAATGAAGAAGAGTTTAGAAAGAGGATCAAAAGATGAAAGTGGGCGGAGTCGCCTTGGTGTCAGTGTGTCGACCCCTTTCAAATAGTGTGTGCTCACGCAATAGCAGATGATCAAAGAAGTCACAGATGCAAAAGTTACAAAACGAAAATCGAAAAACCATTGCTGCGCTGAAAGTGGGCGTGGGCGTCGGGGCGAGTCTTACAGTAGTGTCTAGCTGGTAAAGAAACTGTCCGCTGTGAAGACTGCGTCCAAGTTCGATTTGGAAAGTGTCCAGATTGGTTTGAAAAAAATCCAGTTCAATATCAAGATACTATTTGTCACTTGAGTTCTACGACGAGGGTTTCAAAAATATCACAGATCAACTTGGATTCCTGGTCTCACGGGCATTTCGAAACTAACCTCTACGCAACCAGGCGAACTTTATCTCATCATGCAGCTGATACCATATCGGGACTTCCCACTTGAACCTGAACCCTTTAATATAGTTTGGCAGAACAAACAGGATTGCCCAAGGCACCTACCCATATTTCGGATGTCGATATTTCTCGACCTCCAGAGCTTCCGATTCCATTTTATAACGAGACTGTGTGATTTCAAAGCAGGAGGAATTGAGAGTGTGCACTGTTACTAGTGGGAATCCCATCTAAAGCATTGGAACTGGATTACTATGGAAAACGAAAACAAGTAAGATTCCACGACAGGGATGGGAAGGTTCCGTAGACAAAAATAAAAATATATCATCCGGCAAATCGCATTTGCTAGAACCTCGAGGGCACCAGGCATTCTCCCATAGGGGAAGTCTTTGCAAAATAAGAGAAAAGAGCAGTCCCCGACTATTTTTCTCTTCGGTTCCAATAGTATCTTTACAGGGACCCTCCACTCAGCAACTGGTCAAAGTTTTACGCGGTTTACAGTCCGTAGAGACTCAAAAACAACCGGTTCCCACAGATTTCTTTTCGCTCGGGGGCTTTGGGCATTCCAGGGGCCGCTCATTGAAAACGAAGCCACTGCTGTGTTCAGGCAAGGCCCTAACAAATCAAGAACCATTCGAATCGCGATCGCGACGGTGTATTCTATTAAAAGCAGTAACTTCGATGTCGCTTTGTTACTGCTCAAGTGCTTCGCCTTGGTCCAGTCCTTAGGCTATCCGCACTTATTGTTAATCCAGAATGTCGGACAGGAGGGGATAGCTACATTTTGGGCCTGCGGAAAAAATAAACAAATTCTATAAGAAGCAAACCACTACACTTTGGCTGTGTTCAAACAAAGCAGGGATAATGTGTTAGGAAATGTTGGTCGCATCAACTCCAAAGGAAAGAAAGCGTGATGAAGCGGCAAAGCTAGCCGTAAAAGATTGCGAGCGTTCCTACATTGCCCGTGTGGTGCACTGGCGCGTCATGAAGCAACAATAGTGTGCTCTCATTTCCACTTATACTGGCAGCCTTTCAAAAAGTCACCATAAAGAAAGGATTTAGCGAGAGGATCTGGATGGTGTAATCACGAGTTTGGATAATGCTGTTTACCAAACTTCGTTTAGAATAGCCATATGTTCATTTTTCGAACTTTCGTGCCCTGACTCGCTCAAAAAAAGAACGCCCGGCAAAGCCGTGATTCTGTACACACATTTCAAGCGCAGCTCGCCTTGACAGAAGCACCAAACGTCAACTTAGCAAAACCCTGCCGACTGACCCACCCATGTGAAGACGTTTACCCTGTGAAGAAGTTCAAATTTCGTATTCAGAGTAGCTTTCTTGCACTATTTGGCAGCTTCAGCAAGAGCTTTTCAATGAACATCTCTCCGTGACCTAACCTGTACTGTCCACTGATCAGCAAAGTCCTTTATAACCAAATGTGGCTCTCCATTAGGCCCCACTGCTGGAGAGCCGATAGCGTCCAATGCTTCCCAAAGATCATTCGAACGAGCATTTTTGTAGGAGAATTTCGTGAGATAATGCTGAAATCAGCTATTTTGAGAGATTTCCTAACACTCAACTGCCAACAAATATTAGGGTCAGTCAATGGTGAATAGTGCCATTGAAAATTCTAGCAAGTAACTGACCTTTATTCCATCCTGGAAGCTGACATCTCCCATGAGAGCCGATATCATAGCAAGAATAGATGCTCCTTTTGGAATAAGATATAGGGCTGAAAGCTTCAGCTATCTCTACTGACCTCTCAATCTTGAACGACAACGGATGGCTGGTAGCGACTGCATCTGCTATCAGCGCACTTTCCAACTGATTAATGACGAAAAAGTCGTTCTGCAAGCAAAATTGTCTCAATGAAGCATACTAAGGAACGTCGCCAGGTCAAAGCGGCCGTTTGTGATGAGACCTGGACCGCCGAACATGGTTGAACGTTGATCTCGAAACTGTCTCCGAACTATGCAGAACGATTTTCTGAAAGAAGTTAGAAAGGCTTGTTGAATGAAGGGGCACGGAGTCAAGCGCGTCAGCTGCCAACTTGCATGAATAACCCCGAAGGTATGCTCTGCAAATGGTAGAGTGGTGTGGAGGTCGCCTCACAGGCGTAAGAGAAATATTCGGTTGGGGGAGACAAGCATTTGCATTTTGTGAGGGATGTCCCTTTTGAGTATAGGAAACACTCTCAAGCGTTGATATGATCACGCTTTACGAATACAGTCGGTAACCTAGGTAATCTCACAGAACTCGGCGCCTGCGTCCTTCAAGAAATCATTGGCGTACAGGTGCCTGTGACGGACGCCAAAATCGTTTGCGCAGCAAGCAGGTGTCATATTCGTCTTCAATGAGCAAAACTACACCCGGCGACAGTTTCTATCCACATGTAAGGATTCCACTAAATTTCAAACACTGA